GAAGAAGAAAATGTGGACATAGAGATGCACAGGGCAAAGGTCATGCAACGGCAGAGGCAAAGACGGAGTGGTGTGCTGGCAACCACGACTGCCAGTAGCAGGAGGGGTGGCAGGCTGCCGGCCAGGACGAGGTCAGCAGGCTGGCCAGAGTCCAGCCTCATTCGCTGCGAGGGCAAGGCAGGCCCCAAGGGCGGGGGCCTGGGCCCAGTCGCACAGGGCGGGACAAACCAGGTGTCCTGACTCCCAGCCGAGGACTCCTGCACCCCGGGGGCTGTGTGCTGGACATTGGGCAAGGGGTGGACGCACGCCAGGCCCAGCTGGGGGAGGGAGGACACCGCCCTGGGTGGGGTTGCAGGGGAGAGGACGGGAGGCTGCAAGTGCCCTGCGGGGCCTCAGGCCCAGTCTGAGTGTTCTGGGGACGAACAGGATGCAAGCTGATCCCTCGGCTCCCCAGCCCGGGGCCAGTCACATGTACCCAAAACACAGACTCTAGGAGGCAGCTTATCAGTGGGGCTGCCCCATGACCTCAGCGCTTCCCCCTCGAAGGCAGAAACATGTGTTTCCATGACTGTCCCCACAGCCAGTGGGAGCGGGATAGGGAGTCCCGCCCTGACCCCGCTTCCCAGGCACAAAGGTCCTGGCTGCCTGCCTCTAGGGCAGACCCAGCCGCACTGTGAGCACTGTTTTCCAAGCTGGGACTGTCGGGCAAGAAGCTGGGGAGTTCGGTGCCCTCAGAATCCCGCTGGCCAAGCCTTTGCTCAGTACAGGCTCAGGGTCAGGCCATCCACTTCTTACACACATGGGCGTGGTTCCTGTCAGCAGCGGTTCCCGGGGACCCTGAGATTTTGTTTTGTGGAACCTGTAGAGATCTGGGTGAACCTCAGTTCCTAGGGAATGTCCTAGGACTTCCCCCTTTAACATGGCCCAGGGTGAACCCCAGAGCAGAGACAAGGGCCCCACATGACCCTGCGGGTCCGATTTTCCTCCCTCGCTCGCTCTGCCCAGGACCATTCCAAGGGACTTGGGAGGGGAGGAAACAGACCACAGTGCAGGCAAAATAAAATGGCCCGCCTGCCCCACCAGAAAACAATTCCTCCAGCCATCCAGACACGAGCGGGACATAGCCTCTGCGGGTCTGCCCTCTGCCACCCAAGATCGGCCCTAACTCGGGTAGCCATTTTTGGTTCTGGGCTGGAGACCTTGAGGCCCAAAGCATCTGTGCTGAAAATGGGTAAAAGGCGGCATTCTCAGGGATGTGGGGTCACCCAGGCCAGGAGCAAAGACAGAGGCCAGAAAGGAAAGAATACACATCAGAGACATTGGCACCCAAACAGGATGGCACTGGGGTCCTCCAGGCTACCCCAGCTGGAGAGGTTTTTGCAAGGGGAACCACTGCACCTGTGATCCAAGGTGATCCAAGGTGATCACCTGTGATCCCGAGCCCTGGACCCTTGGCTGATAGGAGATGAACCACCAAAAACATGTTGAATCTGTGGTTTTTCCCCATCAC